GAAGTTGTTATCCATAAATTGTGTCTAATTTGTCATCAGTCAAATTTTTCCTTATTGCTATCTAACGATTCATCTGTATGAGCCATCGGTTCAGCTTTAAAAAAATACAAGAAAAACGGCACAAAAAATAGCCCTAGTTGTTACGTCGGACGTTTACAAACTACATACATTCGCAGACTGTGATATGGAGTGGGTCCTAATGACAGTTCACATGAGGCTACTATAGGAATTTAAAATGAGATATTATTTGCGCAGGTACGTTTACAAAACGCGCATGCGTCATTGATTCAAAGCTTCAGCACATGGTCTCAGAGGGGATGCTGAGACAAATAAGAATGTTTACCACGGATTGATAGTTTGCACTTTTACCATTGTCATTGCATTAACATGAAACACGTCCCATTTTAATTCTGGAAACCCAAAAGTCCAGAAACTCTACGGTCTTTGCCCAGTCTCGGTTAAAGGTATTTACAAAATTAAAGATGCTGTTTTCATGGGAACATACCAAGGAAGAAAAAATGAAAAAAAAATTGTTCAAAAACTCAATATTTAGACTATGTCGCCCATGGGCAGGCCTATGGGCGAAGTGTGGCCCATGGTCCTGCCCATGGGCGAAGTCTGGCCCATGGGTAGGCCCATGGGCGAGAATATGTTCCTTTACTTAAAACTCATGTTTTTCGTTCGCAAATACATTTAATGTATTCATTCAAGTATCATGACACAAAATTTAACTCATTTCAACTTAATTCAACGATTTTATAGCGATATTGAAATATTTCGCCCATGGGCGAGAAAAAGGTTTGGCCCATGGGCGAGAATACGTCCCTTTACTCAAAACTCATGTTTTTGTTTCGCAAATACATTTAAAATGATGACTAATTCACACAAATAAATCATCTTTGAAACATGGAGGGTAATGACTTAGTATGAATTGCAAGCGCGGTCTTAATTACTACATTTGTAATGGGAAAGTAATTGTTCATGAGGTAACATACAGCATGCATGTACATGCATATCATAGTGAAACTCTAACTGTAAACGTCGTCCATATGGTCAGCTGAAATTGGGCATCGAGTGTTTCGGGGCTCCACCATTACATTCGGAAATAATCTACTGATCAACGGGGGACAGCTAACGTGCTGTTGTTGCCTTGCCACAATTAGAGTCATCACCGCTCTCGCCATCACCGGTATTTAGAGACACTAAACTATCGATCTTTGCTTTATGTTCCTACATATACATGTATGCGACGTTACGCATGGGACTGCGACCATTGCCTAACTGACGCCACATAGCAGGCAGTCTGTAAAATGAATGAATGTTGCTGTCCTCTTTGCTCAGTTTGAAACAAGAAAACGCACAGCATATAACACTGATACCGTGGCAAATAGTAACTTGGCACCAAATGAAAAAAAATGACGCGATAGTGCATAACTTGCATTTTGATTTCTGGAAGTTAGCTCAACAGCTGAAGTCAATTTGTGAAAATAGCAAATGATATCAATCGAACTTCTATCAGCCAATACTAAATCATGGAATTCTTAGTCTACAGTCTTGGTGTTATCGTTTGCTGATTAGTTACCGTATTCGACGTAATAAGCGCCCGCTCTAATAAGCGCCCACGGCGATATTACTAATATATTGGCTAGTGAACAATCCCAATAAGCACCCCTTACGATTGATCAATGTAAACAAGACCTATTTTTTCGTGTATGATACGCACCCTTAATAATGGGCAATTAAATTCTCGAAAATATATCTATCTTGTATAATACGCACATATTCTTCTTTTATGTCATTTCAGGCTGTCAGCATAAACCACAAAATTTACAATCTTTCAACTCTGTTTTTTATCTCACCAAAATTATATTCTAATAAGAGCCCCCTATTCCTAATTTTGAGAGCGCCCTGGGCGCTTATTACGTTGAATACGGTATTATAGGTCAAAGGTTGAACCACTGATGACGCATTTGGTCCAGGGGTTTACACCCGCATTAATTTGGTGACTCATTCATTTCATGATTTTCAGTATTCTTGAGGAACATTTTATGTGGGACCAACCGCTTAAGGAATAGAAGGAATAATGACCATAGACATGGAAAGTATGTTATGATATTCATAAAAACATCTTTGATTAATTTATAGTAGCAAGCACATACGGACGGTTAAACTAATATACAGTAAACTACGGTTATAACGAACTCAAAGTGACTACTAATTTTAGTTCGTTATAACCGTAATTCGTTATAAGCATATATACAGCATAACTACAGCATATAGTCGGGACTAAAGAATAGTTCGTTATATCCGTTAGTTCGTTATAAGCGTGTTCGTTATAACTGTAGTTTACTGTATCAACATGACATCAAACTGAATTATATTTGTTGTTTATATTGGTTGGTCCTCGTCCCTTACAATACAGAGACTTGAAACATTAAGATGGTTCTTAAGTCAACAGAAGGGAAGATGATAGACTGTCACACAGTTTTAGAATATAGCAAAGGAAGAAACATATCGGGTTTTTTAACACTGCCATTAAAATACGCAAGCCGCTTGATATCAACAACTCTGATGCCAAGCTCAACTCAGTATGTGATATCTCTCATAGAGAAAACTAACACAGTAATAGATGAATATTCTTGGTTTTGAAACAGTCCGTTTATGCCTAGAATTGTTGCGGGGAATTAACTCCGGGATCTCCACGCCTTCAAAAAACAGACAGAGTGGTTCTCAGGCGAAATGCAGAAATCTTTACTATATATGACATCAAAAGGCAAAAAAACATACATTCAACAGCATCTCAGTATTCCATTTCACAGTTAAGACATCATAATGAGCAATTACTTAGTAAAGCATTTATATATTGAAATTGATAGTTAAGAAATGATAATGAGTTATTTTACAGTGGCCGAAATTACCATATAGATACCATATTATAAGCACCTTGGTCACTTGCAACATTGTGCTCAGTGAATGTCACTCATGTTCATAACGTACATCATTCATAAATTCAGTTAAAATATGGACCTAAGGATGATCTTACAATTCTCTTCTTGTACAATGAGTTCATCATTACAGTATAGTAAATTACTTTCACTTAATAATTCATTCCGAATATTCTTAAACTTAATTAACTCAAAATTGAATTTAATTGATAAATAAGTAAAGTACATTACTGGTGCCTTGTTGAAAATGTAACAATGATAACATAGTTGCTGTAACCAGGGTAACTGCGGTACAGATTCCTTGGGCTTAAGCCGACGTCACGGCTCATGCTCCGGGTGACCAATGGCTGACGGCCGAGCGTGCGTCGAACCGTAAGCCTTATTACTATAACGAGGTAACTGCCGATACTGACTTCAAGATAATGATGATTAAACACTTTAAGACTATTCCACAACATGAAACACAAAATCTACCGTCGCCTCACGATACAGCGGATGCATTTATATGATAAATAGTTAAAATACATTGGCGAGTCTGTGCGAATTTAGCTACAGAAACAGTTTTACTTTTCGTGTATTGTATTCTAGATGATTCTAAATCAGCATGAAAATAAGTTACGCAACTACCGTCTTTTAAAAAATAATCTTGTCCCCGAAATTGTCTTGCAAACCATTATATCCAGGAATCTTAGACAATATCTCTCCAGATTACGTTGTGGAAGCCTCTCCCTTCACGTGGAGACAGGTTTGGGCAATAGACAACCCCCCCCCCCCCCCCCCCCCCCCCCAAGTTAGAGCACAGAACTTGTTATTATTGTAACAAAGCGGAAACAGAAGTTCACATCCTTTCACAGTGTAATCATTATAAGGGCCTAAGAAACAATATTAACTTATCTTTTACAATTCTACAGAACGTAAAGATCTGTTAATTAAATTGTTATCTGTAAATAATCCTAAGCGCATCAAATGTATTGCGCCTACCATAAGAAACATTTTTTACAACGACAATTATTTGCGTACTATACAGGTTGTGAACTAGACGAAAACGTCTCTAACGTCATCCGTGATTGATGTAAAACATCACCAGCTGTTCAACAAATAGAGCTTTTTAGCTATTCCGGTCAATATAAGTATAACACCTGCATTGCCTCGTTCTATTTCATGAAAATATTTCATGGTGTGTATCAAACAGTGTCGCACAAGGTAAGAAATTTATTTATTCGCAATGATATTGGATATACAGACTACCTGATTGTATCATTGTTGTAATGCATGACATTTAAAATGGATGTCATAATCATAGGTTTCTACAATTTAACAAAGTGTTTCACTTAAAGAGAGGAGCTCAGGTCAATCAACCAGCCCTCCACGACAGGAAAGTCTTCAGCCACGCAAGTGTTTTGTTAAACTTTGAAACAGGTGGAAGTCATTTGTGACCAGATCTGGAGAATAAGGGGTACATGGTTATCCACTTTTAGGCTATCAATTGACTTCCTTTTGCATGTGTTTGTGACTGGTGCCGTCGGTGGGGCAGGATACGCTCTCGTTTTCGCGAACACCTAGTATCATTACTGTTTGATAGTGATTCAGAAACATATGCTCATGATATAGTCGGAATCAAACGACTCTGCTTTCTGCAGAGATTTTTGTTGGACATGGAAATGGGTTTGTCGCTTTATTTGACACACTCGTGCAATCTTTTCAATACGGTTTCACACCTATTCACTTCTAACAGTTTTTACTCGACGTGAATTATACCTTTGTTGTGCCAAATGAAGGTGTCAACAAGTTTCTCTTTTCACCTGGTTGCCTTAAACCCTTTGAAGTTTGCGTCAGTTCAATGAATTCTTGCTTGATCTTGGGGCCATATTGATAGATCCTTGTCTCATCACCCAGCACCATAAAACGAAAACGTTCTGCTGGTTATGTGTTAGAGAAGGTAACTACTTGTACTTTGGGTGCCATTGTCGCGATGGGACTGAGACGCTTTAGCCTCCTTGTGGTTTCAGTTTAGTTTTCACTTTGTATTGATTTGTTTCCTGATGGTCTGATGGTGCTAATACTGTGATGTTTTAGGAGTTTGTAATTTCGAAAAGAATTAATCTTCTTTATCGATCTTTATCGATAGCAAATTAAAGAGGTTAGTAAAATGATGAAGTTTGTCAATGTTTTTTGTGTTTCTTACAGAACATCGTCATGCGACCCAACTGGTGTCTCATCTGTCTGGTATTCCTATGCTTATGCAGCACATACCTCATTTATTGTAAACTGAAGAGGGATTTCAGAATGGATTTGACAAGGACTTCACAAATTGCATCAGAAAATAATAATGATAATGCAGAGAATAAAGCGAGATTTGTTACAAAAGATTTGACAAGGAACGTCACAAGAGATGCTTCAAGACCAGAAAACACAAAACAAAGTGTGAAGTATAAAAGGCGAAATCTTGTTACAGGAAATACAAGAGATGCTCCAAGACTCCAAAACATAAAACAAGGAAAGGATGGGTGTTGGGTCAGCAGGGAAAGTAACGGAGCCAGTAATTATACGGAGACAGACAGACGAGCAAAAGATCTATTTTTTGAAAGGTTATCACGGGAAGATAGAGAGAAATTTAGGGACCTCATTAGAACCTTCAGTGAACGTGTGCCTTCTAACATCACCTACTTCATCTATGGAGGAACTTTACTGGGTTCCTACTCCCATCACGGCTTTATTCCCTGGGACGACGACATGGACATCATTGTGAGGGAGAATGACAAACGAGCATTGATGACATTCCTGCAGTCCCTCCCACCCGAGTATGAAGTCAACAGTTCAAAGAAAGTAAGCTGGAAATTGTCTCACGCAAATTCTCTAATTGCTGGTGGCACGCCCTGGAAATATCCATTCCTCGATATATTTTTTTACTCTGAACACCCTTCATACATACAAGATTGTTTCCTTCAGAAAAAGATATACAACAAGAGTGACGTGTTTCCCTTGATAACACGGCCCTTCATGGGCATGCTGCTGCCCGCTCCAAGGAACACCCGCAAAGTGCTGGAACTGGTCTACACGATTGATGTATGTGTGTCGAATTCGTATGATCACAAACGGGAAGAGCGTGTGCCATTGAAATGTTTGGCAAGAATTCCTTGTTCTTTTCTGAAAGATACGTTTCCATTTGTAACCAGAAAGATATCAGATAACAAAACTATTGAAGTGTTGGAAAATAACCACAGCATCTCGGAACACCTGATATAATTCTGGTGTATGTGATTCACATACCAGTACATGTCTTTTATTCCCGTATCAGTGGAAAACTGGGGTGTTTTCATGATCCGGTTAGGTCTCGGATTTTTTCCTTTAATGAAAAAGCTTATTAATGTCCTTTTAATTTTTCATGTATGATGTATTAGACATTTCTGCTCTCGTGTAGAAGTAGACCTAGTAGAGGGTGAAGGTGATGTGGATGCAGTAAAGAATCACGTTGATGTAGATGTAGTAGAGGGTCACCCTGATGTAGATGTATTAGAGGGTCCCGCTGATGTAGATGTAGTAGAGGGTCACACTGATGTAGATGTAGTAGAGGGTCCCGCTGATTAAGATGTAGTAGGGGGTCACACTGATGTAGATGTAAAAGAGGGTCACACTGATGTAGATGTAGAAGGGGGTCCCGCTGATTTAGATGTAGTAGGGGGTCACACTGATGTTGACGTAGTAGAGGGTCACACTGATGTAGATGAAGTAGAGGGTCACACTGATGTAGATGTAGTAGAGGGTCACACTGATGTAGATGAAGTAGGGGGTCACACTGATGTAGATGTAGTAGGGGGTCACACTGATGTAGATGTAGAAGAGGGTCACACTGAAGTAGATGTAGTAGGGGGTCACACTGATGTAGATGTAGTAGGGGGTCACACTGATGTAGATGTAGTAGGGGGTCACACTGATGTAGATGTAGAAGAGGGTCACACTGATGTAGATGTAGTAAAGTTCACACTGATGTAGATGTAGTAGAGGGTCACACTGATGTAGATGTAGTGGAGGGCCACACTGATGTAGATGTAGTAGGGGGTCACACTGATGTAGATGTAGTAGAGGGTCACACTGATGTAGATGTAGTAGAGGGTCACACTGATCTAGATGTAGTAGGGGGTCACACTGATGTAGATATATTAGAGGGTCACACTGATGCAGATGTAGTAGAGGGTCCCGCTGATGTAGATGTAGTAGAGGGTTACACTGATGTAGATGTAGTAGAGGGTCACACTGATGTAGATGTAGTAGAGGGTTACACTGATGTAGATGTAGTAGGGGGTCACACTGATGTAGATGTAGTAGGCGGTCACACTGATGTAGATGTAGTAGGCGGTCACACTGATGTAGATGTAGTAGGGGTCACACTGATGTAGATGTAGTAGGCGGTCACACTGATGTAGATGTAGTAGGGGATCCCGCTGATTTAGATGTAGTAGAGGGTCACACTGATGTAGATGTAGTAGGGGGTCACACTGATGTAGATGTAGTAGGGGATCCCGCTGATTTAGATGTAGTAGAGGTCACACTGATGTAGATGTAGTAGGGGGTCACGTTGATGTAGATGTAGTAGGGGGTCACACTGATGTAGATGTAGTAGAGGGTCACACTGATGTAGATGTAGTAGAGGGTCCCGCTGATGTAGATGTAGTAGACGGTTACACTGATGTAGATGTAGTAGAGGGTCACACTGATGTAGATGTAGAAGAGGGTCACACTAATGTAGATATAGTAGAGGGTCACACTGATGTAGATGTAGTAGGGGGTCACACTGATGTAGATATATTAGAGGGTCACACTGATGTAGATGTAGTAGGGGGTCACACTGATGTAGATGTAGTAGAGGGTCCCGCTGATGTAGATGTAGTAGAGGGTCACACTGATGTAGATGTAGTAGAGGGTCCCGCTGATGTAGATGTAGTAGGGGGTCACACTGATGTAGATGTAAAAGAGGGTCAGACTGATGTAGATGTAGTAGAGGGTCCCGCTGATTTAGATGTAGTAGAGGGTCACACTGATGTAGATGTAGTAGAGGGTCACACTGATGTAGATGTAGTAGAGGGTCACACTGATGTAGATGTAGAAGAGTTTCCCGCTGATTTAGATGTAGTAGGGGGTCCCGCTGGTTTAGATGTAGTAGGGGGTCACACTGATGTTGACGTAGTAGAGGGTCACACTGATGTAGATGTAGTAGAGGGACACACTGATGTTGATGTAGTAGAGGGTCACACTGATGTAGATGTAGTAGAGGGTCACACTGATGTAGATGTAGTAGGGGGTCACTCTGATGTAGATGTAGTAGGGGGTCACACTGATGTAGATGTAGAAGAGGGTCACACTGATGTAGATGTAGTAAAGTTCACACTGATGTAGATGTAGTAGGGGGTCACACTGATGTAGATGTAGTGGAGGGTCACACTGATGTAGATGTAGTAGGGGGTCACACTGATGTAGATGTAGTAGAGGGTCCCGCTGATTTAGATGTAGTAGAGGGTCACACTGATGTAGATGTAGTAGAGGGTCACACTGATGTAGATGTAGTAGGGGGTCACTCTGATGTAGATGTAGTAGGGGGTCACACTGATGTAGATGTAGAAGAGGATCACACTGATGTAGATGTAGTAAAGTTCACACTGATGTAGATGTAGTAGGGGGTCACACTGATGTAGATGTAGTGGAGGGTCACACTGATGTAGATGTAGTAGGGGTCACACTGATGTAGATGTAGTAGAGGGTCACACTGATCTAGATGTAGTAGGGGGTCACACTGATGTAGATATATTAGAGGGTCACACTGATGCAGATGTAGTAGAGGGTCCCGCTGATGTAGTAGAGGGTTACACTGATGTAGATGTAGTAGAGGGTCACACTGATGTAGATGTAGTAGAGGGTCACACTGATGCAGATGTAGTAGGGGGTCACACTGATGTAGATGTAGTAGACGGTTACACTGATGTAGATATAGTAGAGGGTCACACTGATGTAGATGTAGTAGAGGGTCACACTGATGTAGATGTAGTAGGGGGTCACACTGATGTAGATGTAGAAGAGTTTCCCGCTGATTTAGATTTAGTAGGGGGTCCCGCTGGTTTAGATGTAGTAGGGGGTCACACTGATGTTGACGTAGTAGAGGGTCACACTGATGTAGATGTAGTAGAGGGACACACTGATGTTGATGTAGTAGAGGGTCACACTGATGTAGATGTAGTAGAGGGTCACACTTATGTAGATGTAGTAGGGGGTCACTCTGATGTAGATGTAGTAGGGGGTCACACTGATGTAGATGTAGAAGAGGGTCACACTGATGTAGATGTAGTAAAGTTCACACTGATGTAGATGTAGTAGGGGGTCACACTGATGTAGATGTAGTGGAGGGTCACACTGATGTAGATGTAGTAGGGGGTCACACTGATGTAGATGTAGTAGAGGGTCCCGCTGATTTAGATGTAGTAGAGGGTCACACTGATGTAGATGTAGTAGAGGGTCACACTGATGTAGATGTAGTAGGGGGTCACTCTGATGTAGATGTAGTAGGGGGTCACACTGATGTAGATGTAGAAGAGGGTCACACTGATGTAGATGTAGTAAAGTTCACACTGATGTAGATGTAGTAGGGGGTCACACTGATGTAGATGTAGTGGAGGGTCACACTGATGTAGATGTAGTAGGGGTCACACTGATGTAGATGTAGTAGAGGGTCACACTGATCTAGATGTAGTAGGGGGTCACACTGATGTAGATATATTAGAGGGTCACACTGATGCAGATGTAGTAGAGGGTCCCGCTGATGTAGATGTAGTAGAGGGTTACACTGATGTAGATGTAGTAGAGGGTCACACTGATGTAGATGTAGTAGAGGGTCACACTGATGCAGATGTAGTAGGGGGTCACACTGATGTAGATGTAGTAGGGGTCACACTGATGTAGATGTAGTAGGGGGTCACACTGATGTAGATGTAGTAGAGGGTCACACTGATGTAGATGTAGTAGGCGGTCACACTGATGTAGATGTAGTAGGGGGTCACACTGACGTAGATGTAGTAGGGGGTTACACTGATGTAGATGTAGTAGAGGGTTACACTGATGTAGATGTAGTAGAGGGTCACACTGATGCAGATGTAGTAGAGGGTCACACTGATGTAGATGTAGTAGGGGATCCCGCTGATTTAGATGTAGTAGAGGGTCACACTGATGTAGATGTAGTAGGGGGTCACGTTGATGTAGATGTAGTAGGGGGTCACACTGATGTAGATGTAGTAGAGGGTCACACTGATGTAGATGTAGTAGGGGTCACGTTGATGTAGATGTAGCAGGGGGTCACACTGTTGTAGATGTAGTAGAGGGTCACACTGATGTAGATGTAGTAGAGGGTCCCGCTGATGTAGATGTAGTAGACGGTTACACTGATGTAGATGTAGTAGAGGGTCACACTGATGTAGATGTAGAAGAGGGTCACACTAATGTAGATATAGTAGAGGGTCACACTGATGTAGATGTAGTAGGGGGTCACACTGATGTAGATATATTAGAGGGTCACACTGACGTAGATGTAGTAGAGGGTCACACTGATGTAGATGTAGTAGAGGGTCCCGCTGATGTAGATGTAGTAGAGGGTCACACTGATGTAGATGTAGTAGAGGGTCCCGCTGATGTAGATGTAGTAGGGGGTCACACTGATGTAGATGTAAAAGAGGGTCAGACTGATGTAGATGTGGTAGAGGGTCCCGCTGATTTAGATGTAGTAGAGGGTCACACTGATGTAGATGTAGTAGAGGGTCACACTGATGTAGATGTAGTAGGGGGTC